AAGTGTTGCGTGATTTAGAGATATTGCGAAGGTACTGTGCGATTTTCTAATCCCGTTTCAGCCAATGTCTCATTGCAACATCATTACCAAAAGTCTTTTTCGAGACCCGAAACACCGCTGATAGATTTGGGAGGCATTTGTGTATGTGTCCGGAAACACACACTCCACTTTCTGAAGTTTAGCCTTAGAAGGCATTGAGAGAACATTGTCGCGCACTGGCGCGATTCAGGACTTTCATAATACATTTCTGAATTCCGTCAGTTCCATCATTTTTAAGTGTGTATTTCTAGTTTGATCATACTACTAAATCATTATTCCTGTTATTAATGTAAACATTCGTAATCCAATCCATAAATCCATAAATGATCACAACTATGTGTGAAATATTGACTGAAATACTAAAATACAAATCGCTGAGACTCCAATGCGATGTTTGGATAATGCTTTGTGGGTTAGATTTTATATAAAAAGAGATTAAATGGCATGTATCCCGACGGATAAGCTCTAGAGTAACACCTCGAGCAATTATTCAGAAAATTACCTCTGGACAGATTGTGGTATTTAAGTGTCTATTGATGCTCTATAATTTAAAAAAAGAAAATTAATTTAAGCGAAATTTCACTTTCTCTTGCACTGCTATTAATCAAGACCTTATAAAACTCGTGTGTCTCTTACGGAAACACATCTTATTTTTCAATCATTCGAAGAATTATTATTGGCGCCAACGTCGTCTGCAGTCCGCAGTCACGATAATAAAAGGAGTTCTCAAGAATAAAAGAACTCGTACTTTCAGACCAAGAAATAAATTATGTACTTATCTAACTGCGAGTAATTTAGTTTTATGTTTAAAAATGCAATACATCATGTTTCGTGTTCGTCAGTTTGTTTAGAGATGCTGCCGGTCATCTTTTATGTATTCGTTTCACGTTGCTCAGGTACCCTGGATCAATAATACATTTGACGCTCTCAGACAATTAAGAATTTAGAAAAATTAGAACGATTTGTACTATTCGTTCATGTTACAAACGCGGTAGAACGGTGACAAACCGTGACAATTATTTTTAATAAACATTAACACCTTCGCAAACACGTCTGACATAACTCAAATCCGGGATCTCAGAACCGCGATCTGCTACCAATCGACTTGGATCGGTAGTATCCCTCTCCCATCTACAATTTGCGCGAATTCCCCAGCAGCTAAAACAAAACGCATGTCACCCGACACCAGCAGCACTTGGCGCCAACTGGAAGAATCGGAGGAACGAAGGAGCTCCGACGGCATCGAGCTTCGCAATCCCTCTCTCCTCCTCGATCCCAAACCACGCCCCCTCCCCCGCGCCTGCAATTAACGGCGCGCGCTGTGGGCCAGCGGCGGCGGCCGCAGGCGCATTCCGGACGGTGCTGCCTCTTCGGCCTCCGCCTCCTCGGGGCGCTTAATAACGGCCGCGCGGCGGGTGGCAGCGCTAGCGGCGGCATCGGAAGAGGGGAGGGGCGGGGCGGGGCCGGAGAGCCGCGGTGGGCGGGGCGCGCCCTGTCGCCGGATTGATGAACGCGTGTCTGCGCGGCGGAGGCGCCGCCTGCCCCATACAACTCAATGAAGCTGCGGGCGGGCGGGCGCAGGGCGCGGCCGGAATGTGTCGTGTTATTCGGCTAGAAATTAAAGCGGCGGCGGTCGAGGAGGAGGTGCAGGGGAGGGGCGGGGCCCGCTTTCGAAGCAATAAACTGTCCGGAGGCGCCGTCGACAAAGAAATTCCAGCGCATGCAAATGAGGCGCGAGCGCTCGGGAACGCGCCAACGCGCGCGAGTCGCGATCCCCGCGCTGCGGGGGTGGCGGCGGCGGCGGCGGCGGTTTCGGAGGTGGCGGGACGGGCAGCGACAGCGTTCTGGGGGCGGAGGCTGCCGAAGCGGCAGACGCACGTCGGAGATTCGGGCGTACGGCGAGGCCGAAGGAGGACACGTTTGCCATGACGGCGTGAGAGCGGGCGTACGGAGAGGGGGGGGAGGAAGAGGCGTAGAATACGTAGAGGACTCGGAGCGGAGATAGAAGCGATGGAACCGCGTTAGCAGGGTGAGGCGGAGGCGGGGCTGGCAGTGGAAGGAGGAAGCGGGGTTGGCGGCGGCCAGGGCGCGGGCGGGGGGAGCCGAGGCGGCGCTGTCGGGGTGGGCGTTATTGCGGCGTCACGCGCCGCGGCGAATTTCGCCCCGAATTTATCGCCCGATCATGCGTGCGTGCGCGGCGCGACGGCGCGTGAGCCTCGAGGTCACTGGGTCAGCGGCACCCGCTCCGGGAGAGGAGCCCACACGCGACACGCCCCAGGAGATGCTACCGCCTTGGTGCATGAAGCGCTCGATTTGTCCTTTATTTTCTAAACCGCTTTTTAACTAAATGTAGGCGTTTGGTAATTACGTTATTATCATTTCCATGATTAGTTTTATTATCATCTAAATAGGCAACGACGACGACCGGGAGAGCTGGTTCAGGACATTAACTGATGTCACTGCAGTTCCTCTGACCGGGAGGTCTTAGGTTTCAGTCTCGCCGGTGGTAGGATTTCTGACACTAGCTTTTCAGCTAGGCCGCATTCAGTCTAGCGAATGGCTGTCATGATCGGTAGTTGCACTAGTTTCTCCGATACACCGATCAATGACAGGCGAATGCCGGAGCAGTACCAAATCAAACTAGTCGGGGACCATGCGCAATCTTTCCTTCCTCTTCCTTGCCCTCTTCTAACCCCTTAAACCCACATATGTATGCACTACACTACCACACATGCCGGGAGACCGGTCGGGAGCTTGGAGCTTTTCTTAGCTGGGGCGGTACCTCGCTCATGCGAGATACCTGGTTGATTGGAGAAAACACCGCTAGGTTGGCGCCGGATCTCACCATCCCGAGGGGGAAGACGACCGTCGCTACCACCCGAGAAAAAACATGCACCAAACTTTCAGGAGTAATTACCTTAATAGTAATTAACTTATTTCGAGTCCGGGATCACTGACAATCAATCAATCTAAATTGACGACTGTAGACGTTAGATGTCGATTAATTACAAAAACTACTCCAGGATGCAACCTGCTTCCTCAGAAGTAAAGTCAGCGACTGTTTCGTGAATATAATTTTTTCGTAATAATTTCGATTCCTTATTGACTTGTTTGGAGCAATACAAAACTTTAGTTTCATTCCGTAACGTTCGACTTCTCGTATCAATACTCTGTTCTGATGAGCCAGAAATGGACAAATTCTCGATAACCGTATCATTTTGCTCACTACATAAATGTTTGATATCTTAAACTTTCTAAATTCGCCCCCAGACAAAAAATTACATACTTTTAACCTTGTAGTCAGCTACAGTTCTATAAGTATGCTCTACTTATTTTTTAACATTTCTGGAATCACTTTAACTATATGGTGTGTTTCTAAAATGAAAAGAATAAAATAAACATTCCAAGCAGCGCGCCACTTTGACAATTAGTAATAAAACGCTAATTCCAATAATCAAGTTTACAGTAAATGAATTTCTCTTCATTATTCATTTTCCAGCTAAATGAACGCGCCAAATCACTACTACAATTGGAACACGCCACTTTCCTCAATTAACACGCAATGACCACTGAACAAATAATGCAACAAAGACTTCAGATTTGGAAATAATACTATCAGCTGCTCACTCAGCTTCAAATACTACCCAGACCATGTACCATTTGTTACAAAACGTGTTTTCACAGCGATGTTCCAGACAGCAGGCGTCGCCCAGAGATGCACCTATTTCAATGTGTCAAATGCGTTCCAGAACACAAAAACTAATTTGAGCACCACTAACGGTTTATCGATTTTGAAATATTTTCTTTCTCGTAGAAAATTAAAAATAACAAAGTAACAATACATTTTTAGCGACTGGTCTAATAAATAAAAAAATCCAGGTTTTTTATTTTATTTCGTGTATGCCACCTGAGAAAAACAATAATCCTTGTTAAACGAGCTAAAATGGTATTACCATTTCGATGAAATACCGGTAAAGATTTTGAAGTTCGTGAATTTTCATTTCGAGAAAACTGAAAATCTTCCCTCCAAATAAAGTTTTCCTTTGGGAAGGTGGGCTGCCCTCTCATAAGGGGAACACTGCGAGAATAACGAAATAATGCCATCTCCAAACAGCTGTAAAGACTGAAAAAGAATTATTAGGTTTGTCCCAGTAGTAACTGGAGCCCTAGGGACTATATCCAGGGACATGAGAAAATATCTGAGTTCCCTAGGCCTTTATGACGATCTATCATATAATCACTAACGTCTGTATGTCACCATTCGTCCTGCGTAGGTTTTTTTTTGGATTCCTAGGTCCTTGTATTAGAATACGAATCCAGAGAAATGTAATTCGGCGTAAGAGAAACCACAGAAAGCTACCAATCAGAGCAGCTGGCCGTTAGAATTCTCCTCCATACAGCAGCTGAACTCAACCTAATTATGTATCTAGTGTCGAAAATCCTGCCACCATCAAAATCGAACCCTTGAATATTCCGGTCAGATGCACTGCACTGACATCAATTTCTCTGATCCACCTAAGTCGATGATTAACAATCATTGTAACAATTTAATGATAGAATAATATGACCCACTAAGAAACAACATTATCTAATAATACCCATTTTAAAAATAATCCTCTAAAAATTATTAACTTAAATTTGGAGCAATCTTAAGCCTTACGAAATCACCCCTTTTTAAGGTTCTCGTGAGCTTTTGACGATTCTTGCGGTCTCCGGTCCCCAAACAGCATCACACCCTTCCCCTTGTATCATAGAAAACCCGGAATGCTTCTTGGTTACACCGGAGAGAAACCGAGTGCCACAAACGTCTCCCATTAAGAGCCGTGGTTGTACTGCCAAGAGTTGCACCCATTTCCTTGTAGCGGTTTGTCCCTTGGCAACAGATCTGGGAGATGTGCAAAGTCAAAGCCATCGTTCTCCTCGTGCCGTGTGTGAACGGTGCGCTGTTGTGTGCTGTGCAGGGACTGCCTGGTGACGACGGCCGTCAACTGTTTCACCAGCTTCTTCTCGGGCTTCGTCATCTTCACGTACCTGGGCTTCATGTCGCACAAGCAGGGCGTGCCCATCGCCGACGTGGCGGCGGAAGGTGAGTACACCGCCGCATTCCTCACTTCCTCATTCACTCACTAAACTTTTAAAGTTCGCGTCTCCTAAGACGATCTCAATTTCATATGGCACGAAAGCATAAATGTATGTATATATTTGATATTTCAGTGTCGGATTAATCCGACTTTTGACAGCTAGCGGTGTTCCGAGAGCTGGGTCCTGTTTCTTTTTCATTTATAATCCATTTCTGGAGTAGGGAGTCATGGGGTGAGCCTGAGGTATTCCCAATACTAGCATCTAACATACTTGGCCTGCGTGATTTTTCTTTCGTCACACCACTACAGAAACTGAAAAGGAAAGCTACAAGTTCTACTTTTGACCCCCGACTGGCAATCAAACCCGAGAGCTCTCCACGTAAAGCTAACATGCTCTCCATGATACATCCGAGAGGCATGCAAAGATATACATGAAAGTTAAAGTTGGCCCTGGAGGCGAGGAGTCACTATTCCCTCTTATCTACTTCTTTTACAACATAACATTGTTTGTATGGTTACGTCTGTGGCTAACTTGTGACCTGAGTGCGAAACTTCTTCCACACATGCACACTCGTTTCGCACACGTGTTACGTAACTTACCATTTTATGTAAAACCTACTGAAAAAAATAGAACTTTCACTTTTACAGAAGGGCTTGTATTATATTCCTTCGGTGGTTACAAAAAATACGAATTCTTGAATGGGCCATTCTGGCATGCAACCCCCCCCCCTTGCAGCTTCTACAACCAGAGTTTGGGATCTGTGCTAGTGTCGAGAATATCCGGCTCCCGGAAATTTGAATTCCCGACTCATCCTTCACTAAGAAGAGAATAATAAGAGCACGTCGGGCTCGAGTAATGATCCCCTTTTGTCTTTGACAGTGATGATACCAAGGGGTGTCTAAAAGCACAGCAGAAAGTCTTGCATTGGTACAGTGAATAAGCAGAGGTGGTTACATTTTCACATCAAAACCAAGAAAGCACTAATGAAAATTGAAATATAATATTGTACGCAATTTGTGAGAGAAAAAATAAACAGCAATATTATTTTTTCTACCATTATTTCACTAAAATGTTTAAAAATTACTATTTTTGTTTCCTTTTTCCATTTATTTTTTTTAATCTTCCAAATACGTCACTGTATTTCCTCAAGATGATGTGTAACATAGTTGGTATTTTTACAACAAATAAATTATCACAAAAAACTGCTGTAATTTGAATTATTAAGTTTTAGGATGGTGTAATATCAATTTTCTGAAATAAATACAAGATGCCCCTAAAACAAATTCTTAAACGGTCACCATAAGCATACGTGATAAAGGTGCGCAAAACAAGACTAAACTCAAACATTACATGATTGCTTTGGTTAACCCTCTTATTCACTTCGGGGAGGGGGGAATCAGAGGCCCATTGATAATTTTTTATTAGATTTCTATAGGTTAATTACCGGTTATCTTACGTCACGGGCGGTACACTATGATCGCAGGTTTATCTTACCCCCACCTCCCAAATATGCGTTAACATAAGGAGCAGCCTCTCTTTTTTCATACGGAAAATATCGCGTACTACGATAGCGAACTGCATCTTTTTCACCTCGTGTTTTAAAGAGAGCGTTCATAATCAACCATTCCCGTCTCCGCCCCACCTCTCACTTCCACCCCTACTCGTTCCCGTTTCCGCTCAAGCGCTGCGACGCGGCGTCGTCGCCGCATGCTTGTCAGTGTTTCGCTACCGCAAGTAATCTGAAGGAATTCCGAACGAATATTGTTTATTGAAGCGGGCCCTCGACATACGCCTGCGAAATTTAATAAGTCAGGCCGTGTCGCTCATCGATCGACGCAACCCCTGTTTCTGCGCCCCCGCCGCCGACGCCGACGCGCGTTTAGCTCCGCCTGAGGTAACGCGCGCGCCGCACGGGAAGATCCAGGCTCAGCCCCCTATCCTTCCCGCGCTAAACGCATTTTTCGGATGATGCTAAAATCCGATAACGCCGCCACACCTCCGTCTCCAATTGCACCGTTCTGTAGTGGCACACAGTCAATGATGCTGTTTTGAAGCATTTTACGCTACGTATGTGAACGTCATCTCACCTCACCATTTTGTTTTTGTTTTAGTCTTTTGACGAAGCCATTTTACATTAAAACTATTTATTTTATATAAAAACGAATCTAGTTATTGTGTATTGGGACCATTTCTATCGTACAGGATAGAGCAGGTTAAATGGAATGTAGTCACGTTGGACAGACAAGGGTCAGACCTGCGGGTCCGACTGATGGATGCAAGCGTCTCCTGCAAGCCTATTTTCATTGAGCTATGAATCTTACTGTTTCCATGTCTATTGATTTACGCATCTATAGTTTTTGTTAAAACTGTCTAAATTAAAGGTGGGATCATCTTTTCATACAAAATAGATATTTTCAATTGCTTGTCGCAAGATGGGAATTTATCATGTGACAGTGTCAATAGCTTACCACTTGAATTTCACGTGGGTATTTCCTCGACTTTTTCCTGTAGCTCCCTTTTTTTAGGGATAAAACGCATTACAGCAGGAGAACAGGGCTTTCTAACCATGTTGTAGTTCTCCTTGTAATCATCTGCAAAGGGAGGATTTGTATACTGTAATAATGGCTGAATTAAATTATGAACAAAAATATTCATGACAATAATAAATTTATATGCGTCATTGCCAAAATATGTATTTGCGCATGCCTATATAGAAGTCTTACATTGGAATGCGCATGGGTCCTAATTAGGGTAAATGTATATTCAAAAAAAATGCATCGCCATCGATTATAATTTTAGGGAAAACACGCTCCAACTGCTGCTCTATGGTACCACCGCCAGAGAGTACGGCATGAATTAGTTTTGCAACATTCCACCAGTCTGCAGCTGCTCCCTGAAGGAATAAAAGGGGAGTCCTACTTAGGATGCGGGGTCCGACTTTGTTAAAATAAATAGGGGAAGTTCGTCAATGATATTTACTAAATTAGTAAACATTTGTATTCAGTAGCGCACCAAGGGGGTGGGCTCATGGGAGCTCCAGCGCCACCCTTCCTCTGAAACCAATGACGCATATTCAAAAATATAGCTTTTCCTAATTTTCTTTACTAACCAAAGTCACTTACAACATCAATTGTTTACGTTATAAGTATTAACTAAAAATCAACAAATACATTTTATATTCAGCATAAACGAAACATTTTTATGAAAACATCAAGTGATCTGGTCACTGTATATACAGCCCTCTCCCTTCACACACACACACACAGAGAAAAAAGTCCTGACTGCGCCTCTGTTAGTAACTACTTGGCTGTCTGGGAGACAGCCAAGAAGTTTCGCCCTGAGGAAGGTGCAGTTCACCCTGAGTAAGGTCGCAGAATGGCGGCCGACACGTTGGCACGTAAATTTAGAAAGCGGCGTCTCCCTCACAACCAAGTACTGCCTCGTAGTTATTGCCTCCGGTCGAGGAAGCCTAAGCTCCCACGAGCTTATATTCTGTACAATTTTCAAAGACTTAAGTTTGCCTACAATGTACTTCAACTTATGAGCTCATGGCCCCCGCCCCCATCAGGTTTTTCGGCCAGTTTCTCTGATCCACGGAATAAATGTTGAGATGGTTGGTTCTCGACAGAAATGTAGCTTCACTAAGTGCACATTTCATTGAGTTCTTGTTTTACTAGATGTGGTAGACTTAGCGCTAATGGTTTGGGTTACAATTTTCTTTCTAATACAATAAAATCAATGATGTAGCTCTTTTTTCGACGAAATTTTTTTCTACGACTTGTGAGAGGAAATGTCTACTTTTCAAATGTTGCTAACGTCGCTTTGTAGGTTATTCTAATCGTCATTCAATTGTTATAAAACAGAAGGAAAGGAATTCTGGAGCCCAAGAAAACATGCAGACATTATTCGTCTTCTCATTCGTCACAAACAGTTGCTACTGTATTTTGACTGATACAAATCAAATAGACTAACCGGTAGGACCCACCGAAGGACTGACTGACTGGCGGGACTGGCCGAAGGACAGACCGGTAGGACCGATCGACGGGACCGACGCAAGGACTGACCGGCGGGCCTGCGCAGGCCCGGGGCTCGTGTTCCAGGTGTACCCCGAGGCGGTGGCCACGCTGCCGGGCTCGCACCTGTGGTCCATGCTCTTCTTCTTCATGCTCATCATGCTGGGACTGGACAGCGCGGTGAGTGGCCGCGCGCTTGCGCCTGCGCCCTCGCGATCCACCGCCAGGATGTGCTGTGCTCGCCAGGTAACGACCGAGGCCGAATTTCAAGAGCGTACACTTCCGTCAATTTAGTGGACAAAGGAAGGAATTCGGCAAATACCACATACAATATATACAAAGAAAAACGGGGTAATTTCATATTTTGTTTCTAAATTCAAGATGTGGTTTGTTTGTTTGTTTGATTGTTTTTGTACTTTGTTACATTGCACATTTTAAGTCATCAACGTTCCTTTATGATTAAGTAAGGGGTTCACTCATTTCTCGACAGATGTCCACAATCTCTGTCCAATACTTTTTTTAATAAATTTGTAGACGCAACCGATACTTTCTGCAGTTTCATTTTGTTACGATGTCCCATTGCCTTGAACTCTTGACAACGCCGCGGCTTGCTCAGCGTCGACTGAGAAATGCGCGCGTGTGGGTTCCAAATGAACAGTATGAAATTCCTCAAATGTATCGCTAACAATATGAATTTAGTTCTGATAACTCTTCAGACTACCTTCTCTCTCATTTCAAAATCTAACTCATAAGCGATCCTTTTCTGTAGTTTCGTTTCGTCTGAAGTTTAAAAAATGTTTTTATTATTTTCACGCTAGTGACAACCGTCATCTCTCAACGTTGCCGCGAGTGAATCGTAGGATTGGGCGTGTGCGATGACTCTGCAATCACTCATCAGTCATAATTCATATGCCCTCCCACCATCATCCTAGTGCAGGGTTGTCCAACTGGCGGCCCGCGGTGCTATTTATTGTAGCCCGCGAAAGGTTGTTTGTGAAGAGTAAGTCCTCCTCATCCATGTCGGGCGAGAACATTGCGCATCCTGCCGGATCCAAAACCCAATTCAGTGTAAAAATAGATTTTTTAAGTAAATCCAGAAATTCAAAATTATCTAAATGTTTCACTGCGTTATCTATGATACGGAATGATATCACACATGGCTTCATCCCACCCTTTTCAGAGCAGCCAAGCAAAGTGATCAAGATCAAGAATACGGGGAAGTCAGGTGTGAATCGCGCGAGTAATGAAACGCCCGCCACCATATTAAAGATTTTAGTTGTTACTCTTCAAGCCTTTCACGTTGGACCCCTGATTTAGTGCACAATAATAGCAAACCAACCTTACCACATGCCCAGGAGGGCACAAAAGATTTACCATGCGACATCAGCACTCAAAAATGAGTGACACTGGTAAGTCTCCATGTACTAAAATCAATAGAGACGAATAGGCGGAAAACGCCAAAAGCGAAAAGCAATTGACCAAGCCCATGCCCGGGTCTCGATACCTCGTGCTTTACGTTTGGTCACTTTGGCTTGAATAACAACAGGTGGCAGCGGTAGAGAAGTACTTACGGAAAAGTCTGCCTGTGCGTAGGAATGTTCCACTGACGTCATGAACCCTTTAAATCGGCCACCTCATCAAGGCGTGGTCTCTGTTGCCCCTGGTCGGCGCTGGCGCGCAGCGGACTACTGGAGCCGCCTTCGCTGAATTTATGGGGCCAATGACGTCAATGCCGTCAGTGGAATATTCTTGCGAGCAAGCAGACTTTCCCACAGGCACACCTCACCTCTGCCGCTTGAACAAATACGACGCACGAGCCACCGAGGGGTAGGCATGGATTGTTCACTTTTATTTCAGCCTTCGACGTATTTCCCCTATTTTGAACCTACGGCATTGCGGCCGTGACATATTCATTAGGGATGCCACATCGATGTCTATGTTTTGAAAACATCGATGGTTTAATCATCGATACAATAAAACCGATGTTTTTAACATTGATGTTTTTGTTTCTTGTTTAATGTTTTTGTGAATGAAAAAATTCCCATTGTCAAATTTTTGTAAGTTTGAAAATAAAGTAATAACGGATGGCACCACTGTCAGTTGTCACATGGCATGTGTTCAAGCATAGCAGAATGCTATTTGTACTACCTTCATCAAACAATCCCTCGCCCAAGATGTCCCGTCGACCTGGTATTTCCAACGTTTTTCCTCGTATTCCGCACTTTCAGAGGCGTTTTTTAAACTTTGTTTTCACATGAATCTTAATTATATATTCATAAACCGGGCAACTGTCAAACTAAATGTTGTCGCTTACGACTTTAATGATAGAAGCTACTACACTAAGCGTTTAAGCATCGATGGTTTTTATTCGGCGTGTCAATTTGGGGCATCGGCGTTTGTACACTTGTATATTTTGTTATCGCCGTCGCATCGCCAGCATCCATCACCCCGTGCGTTGCAGATGGGCGGCATGGAGTGCGTCATCACGGGGCTGATGGACGAGTTCCGCGGCTTCTTCAGCGGCCGCCGCTTCGCCCGCGAGGTCTTCACGCTGCTCGCCGCCGCCGTCTCCTTCTCCGTCGCCCTCGTCAACGTCACCCCGGTAAGCCAACGCCCCAGCGGCGGCCGGTGGCTTGCGAATTGGGAGAGGGGGCGGCAGGTCGCGCGTTTTACCTCTTCAAAATACTTCTTCAACGAGGAAAAACTAGAGCAGGGTAGTGTACAACCGATTTGCAACGCATCGGGATTTTAATCCTCGCCTTAGACAACGTTTTACGTTGATAACGGAAGATACAATTGTGCTTATGCGTAAAATAAGAAAAATTAAAAAATGAGCAAAAATCCAGTGATTTATGAAATCAGATGAAAGGGTCGGTATTCTTAGCTTAATTAATGGGAGCGAACTCCGCCGAACAAATCCCTAATAGCAACACGCTGGCCCCCACCCAACTCCCATTGTACCCACTCAAGCTTCCGTTGCCTCGCATGTACCAGCTACGGACGGACTCGTGATAGTCCACGATACGGCCCGTTCTAAAAACATTTATCTTTCGCTTAAGCGTGCACATACTAGAACTAAATTCGTGCTCAAAAATGGCGCTGACCGTATGCGCAAATCAAACGAGTCTATTTATTGCACGTTTAATACTTTCTGCAACTTTTCTCGATGTTGATTTTTCCGGGGAGGGCTCCGCCCTAGAGCTCTTAAGGAGCAGCCGCCATTGTACGACAGGCATGTCAAGCGCGCCCCGCACGAGCTTCTTGCCCGCCTGGGAACTCTGACGCTCCTACGAATATGGGCCACTTCCCCTACTCCGTTCTCATTTCCCCTCCAAATTCAGAAAGGGGTGTACACGCGTAAGCTAAAGCGGCGTGCGGCGGGGTATAAACATATTCCATACTAGAATATGTCCATATGTTCCATAAATCTAACAAACATATTCCATACTGAAATATGTTTGTTAGATTTGTTCTAACAAATAACCAAGAATTGAATTATGTTTATTTTTTTTCCCACTTATTACTATTTCATGTTTATTTTTATTTTTAAATTCTGCCTTATATAAACACGTGCCAATTGGCAGGTATCTTTTTGAAAAGCGAATTATTTCCATGTTTTTTATTTGTGACATATTTTTTTAAATATTTCGGTTATTTGTTGTATATACCAATAATCGAAATAAATTAAAATTTCTCTATATGTTAACAATTCTCCCTTGCGGTTGGAGAGCTATTTTAAAGAAATTATGATTAAATGTATGATAAAAGAAATGGATAGAGGACAGAGAAACAGAGACAGACACAATTGTGCCACGGAAGATTCACTTTTTAAGATTAATAACAATACATTATTTGAGTGTTCTTGAGTTCTATTTTTTATAAAAATGTAACTTTTTGGTCAACCGACGATCTTTTGTTAGTCTCTTCTTCCCTTATATGATCTTACATCTACATTTTCTTCACACTCCATACAGTCAAGTAACTGGAGACAGTCAGCACAATTCTAATCTCTACTTCTGCTTCCCTTCAAATGTGTATTATATTTTTATAACAAATATGTATACATACAGAATCCATATACATACATACAGCCTTTTTGATGCCAAGTGAATGTGACTTGTTTGTACAAGCACCACATAAGCTGATGGGCCGAAAAAAAATCACTTTGTAAACAACGATGTAGTGATTATGAAGTTTAACCTGGACCCTCCTCAAAACCTCCTTAATGAGACTTCAGAAATGTAATATCGGAGCTAATAAACTGGCTAAGTCATCGAAAGTGAAATTAATACTTTTACGAAAGTTAATTTCTAGACGATTAGATGATGTCATTAATGAAAGTTCTTCGAAATGAATGAACTGAATACCGCGCGAATATGTGGATAGTAGCCCTAAATTTATCTATCTTTTTTCATCCACGAGTATTTTAAAAATGAACGGTGTGTATTAGAATTATTTTTCTTCAATTTTATTACTTCAATATTCTTGTGGATGGTGGTAAGGTCACGACAAAATTACCAGACAAATTTTGATATTATTGCGGAATATTGCTTAAAAATGTTTGATAGAAAAAATATTTTCATTGTAACAATATTGAACTTCAATCCCACTTACAACATAAAAACAAAGAAACTTTGTATTTAAAATAAGGGTTTTCGTTACCTAGAACTCTCAAAAAAAAGTTCAGATCGCTAAAAAATAGTGATGTTTGTGAGTGTGCAATTTTACGTGGAATGATTTATCTGCCGCCATTTGTTCATTATGTCATTTTCGAAACCAACTACAAAAAAACTGTCATTTCAACGCGCAAGTTACAATCGATCTATCAAAAGCAGTCGACGTTTTGTAGCTCGAGAAAGCGTGTGGTATAGTCTCCGATTAAAACTTAAAACGAATTGACAGCGATCAGCAGGAACGCAGCAGCAATCGAGAGTTTCGTTTCAACTAAATGTTGAATATTGAAGCTCCCAATTAAATAACCGCGACCCAGATTATCAAAATTCAATTCGTCTTACGTTTTTGTCGGAAAATAGTTAACGAAGCGAAGGAAAGTTTTCTTTTCGCAATTTTTGAAGTATTTTTAAGAAAATTGAACGATATTAAATCTAAATATTAGCTAATGTAAATAATAGCACTGACTACGAATCGTCTGACACAGGATTTTACCAAAAAAATGTAATGATTAGAATTATTTGAGATGCGTAGTTTCTAAATTGAATATAGTACGGTTTCTTGCTACGATCTACTACAATCCTGTTCAGATTTCAAACATAAAACATTTTAATTACATTTTCAGAAACATATTTAACTGTTTTCACAGTGAACGGCGATTGTATTGTTCCAGAATTTATAGACGTTCCTTATTTTATTAGTCTTGGAGAATAAGTAGAGAACAACATGAATAAATGGCTCGAGTGAAAAAAAATAGTTTTCACTTCAAGTCTAAAGTAGTAAAAACATTTATTACTAAACAAAATCTTTTACTTAATACATTGTAATGTGAATTACTTAATTGTGAAGAGTATTACTTAATAATGACGTTACAAATTTCCTGAGAAGGAAATTGTGGGAAAATAAATTCATTTTTTGTTAGAGAATGCCGGGAAATCAGTACACACACGTCTCATGCGTCGTAAGACGGCCAACATGTGTTGCGAAAATCAAAATCTACCAAAACAGCCACATTTTCTTTTCGTAATGATGTCTTTTCACCCATTGGAATATTTTTAGATATTTCAAAAGCTTTTGACGCCATTGATCATAACATTTTACATTTAAAATTATCCTCATATGGAGTCCGTGGTAATGCCCTAGATTGGTTATGTTCGTACCTAAAACAACTATCTCAGAGAGTAGAAATACCTTACAGAAATAATGAAATATTATGTACAAGCCTTTCCGATTATTTGCAATTGCATGTGGAGTCACGCAGGGATCGATTTTAGACCCTATTCCCTTCCTACGCAACGCAACGTATGTTGGCCATCTCACGACGCATGGGACGAGTGTGTACTGATTTCCCGACATTCTCCAACAAACATGGATTTATTTTCCCACAATTTCATTCTTAGTAAATCTATAACGTTATTATTAAGTAACACACTTCACAATTAAGTATTTCACATCACAATGTACTAAGAAAAAGATTTTGTTTTGACGTAAATAAATAAAAAATAACGAAAGGATTGATCAAGTCTCTATTCTGCTAATACAGTCAGTGCCGTGTTAATGCACGGGCCAGGGCTCCCAATGTTCAAGGACCTCCAATAGTTCCATAAAATATATTTCATATAATTTTTTTCAAAAAATAAAAAAAATACTGAAAGTGATTCATGATTAAACTAAACGCAAAAAATTACCATGACAGTGATGTGTACGTATCATTGGATAATATTTATGATATGGAATGTTGCCCGTTGATGCGTTTCAATTTTATAACGTACATTTCAATAAAAAAATTAAAACTATAATTTGTAGTATTTATCAAAGTAATTAAATTCTGTTATTCTTAATTATACGTACATACATGTTTAAATTGTTTGAATCATGTTCAATTGAAGCACTAAGAAATACTAACAAAATATTTTTAAACAAATACAAAATACAATGTGAATTGATAGGGTTTTCTATATATTTCGTCATCGAAATTAGGGGAGGAGGGGAGGGAGATCGGTGAACGTAAGAATAGGGGCCCACAAATTCACTTGGGACCAAGGGCGCCCAATGCTGGTAAAACGCCCCTGAATACAGTTTATGAATATTATTGACAATCACAATAATGCATTAAAAGCGTCGCAACTTCCGAGCATTAAGGCTGGAACGGAAACGGCGTACTCGGGTCCGATTTTCTACGAACCCACTAGTGTTAAAAACAACAAAGTACGATATTTCCTTTCCGGGCTCCTAAACAACACGCGGCCTTTCAGTACGAGTACTAACTGAAAGGGTAGATCGGAAGTTGGCGGTGTCACGGTTCTTGTTACATGGAAAATTTCATTCACTAGTAAGGGGTCTGTTCTCAACAATGTAAACGTTCAGTTCGTGAACGGAGCTGGACTATACGACCTCAACGTAAATTTCAGTTCGTATTTTTCATCAAGGAATTAATTTTATAGCCAACGCGGTAGAAATGCGGCCGCGCACTTTCCTGTGGAATTGTGACGCTTTGTTACGCGTGTTCGGGTTGAGAACGAAGCTCGGGCTTTCGGCCCTATCGTAAACAAAACATTCTTGAGTCTGTCCAACGCATAATTACTAGCGCATTCTATACGAATACTTACCTTAAAGGTCGTTGGGCGTTCATCCTAGAATATAATTTTATTTTATTTTTAAGGGAATAGAGTTATACTGATCAACACAAACAACAAAGAACCATAATTCCAACACGAGAAATAATAAATCATTAAAATGAACCGTGACACCGCCAACGTCCGATCAACAATTGAAAGGCTGGGTCGTGTTTTATTCTAAATTTCAATTTTGAATACTTTTTACAATCTGCATATATTACAATAATAAATAAATTATAAACTTTTACTAAAGATGACTTTAATTAGTGTATCCAATGTCCGCAATTTTTTTTCTTTTGGTGTATTTTGATGAGTTTTAATGACCACTTCACAACCTCATAAAATGAAAACAATTCTTGCTAATTAGTTTCAGGTGTAATAACGTGAGTGCAGACATTTTATTTTATCTTCTTATCGGTCACATGCGTCTTTAGCCCTCGTTAACATGCAACTCTCTAAGTTTGTAATGCATTTGTACCTACCTACTTGTAGGTTAAGAAATGTAAAATTCTTAGCTTAGGGTTTTAACATTCCTAGTAACCTAAATAAACAATCACCCATTCATCGCAAGTCAACATTATTACGAAAAAATCACATGGTAATTTACAAGACAAATGGTAATCAAAGCAGCGCATTATTTTTGGGGATGTTCATTATTAATTATGTTATTAATTGTGCAGTTTGAAAAATAAATGTGGTAAATAATCAGTACTTTCGTTGAACTTGACAAAATGGATTTACACCAAATCTGTACCGTGTTTCATTCCAAAACACTTAAGTAACAATAATCATACCTTGTGAAACAAATATTCTTCATCCCCAGCCTCTCTCAAGAATACTTCCATACATCATTACTTGCCAAAACTTTTTGCTTTTTTTGTTTGCACACCAACGTTCAATCTCTTTAAGAATGCATAAAGCTTGTGGAATATTTTCAAGTTCACATTTTCATTTATACCTATTGTGCATCTCAGCATAGAATAATATACCCACAATGAGGTTGGCTTATGTATCTGCGACTGTAAAACGAAACGTAAGACAAAGGTGTGTCTTTATAAAAGGAATAAGTGTAAATTACCTTACCAAGTTCTGAAAGTACGCAAGCATTATTTTCTGTAATAACGGCTACGTGATTTTGTACTTGCCAAGTTTTAAATTCGTCATAGGCCTTCTCGTATCGTGCTTTAGATTATTCAGGGATTAAATCTCGCGTCGCTTCCGCAGTTGCATCCAACATTTCTTGAGGTACAGACGAATTTTCAGCGTCCATCTTCCTCGAGCCACGGTACACAAGTGTATTGTTGAAATAAATATATCGCAAGCAATACCCAACAATATCGATTATCGTGCCGCAACAACAGAATTCATGTGTTTGATATCGCAGAAATGTAAATTTTCTATAAAAAAAAAAGAGATTTTATGATGACCGATAAAGCGCTGGACATGCCACGAAATGTTAGTGTTATTACTGCCTCGTCCAAATTAAAATCTCGACTCCGCTACGCTCCGCCTCGATATTTAACTTTTGGCGTCGGCAGTAATAACACTCATAACATTTCTAGCCACGTTAATAGCTATTATACTCGTATATTCAAGAATACGGCCGCAATAATAAATAATTTATATTAATATTAATATTATTATTATTATTATTATTATTATTATTATTATTATTATTATTATTATTATTATACGTACTAGTAGATCACTATATTCTTAAATTCATATTCAGGCGTGAATATTCAATTTCTGTTGATCGAAACATAACCACACTCGCTGACCGTGACAGCGAAAGCTCACTTACGAGAGGTCACCACCGTGCTTTAAAAAATTGTCATATTTACTAATGAAATGAAGTGAAATCAGAGTTGTATTCACATCATTTTAGGTAAATGCTGTAAAAATTAATTCTTACTACGAATTTAAGTATTTACTATAGTAAGTAAATAGTACTGTAAATAAAAGCTAGTACTCGATTTTCCATTTTCCATATGCCTACTTCATTAAAGCAGTTACTTTTTTGTTGTAACTTGTCTACTCTCTCTTCCGAGCGATGTAATCGCACTATTAGTTATTAACGTCAATAGGCCGTAATAGTAAGAGCAAATATCGGTCCAGTATTGGCCGCGATCACAGTTCGTAGTACTCGAACATCGAGGCCACAGCAGAGGTTCTTACATCATAACCAACATTCTGCTATGTGTGTTACACCAGCATGTAGCGTTTAATGATCTTTGTTATGCCACATTCTTAAAAGAAAAAATATTTAAATAAGAAATAACTTTGGTTTGAATACGAGTACTTCTTCACCACATTTTGCTAATTTGTTAGAATTCATTTGTTCCTATTGTACATAACGTACACCATTATAACTAGTACCAATTCCTCTTTTTGAAAGCGTTGTAACAATATATGAGTGTGGTTTTAACAAAAATTATGTACAATGAAATATCCTCACCGTTCGCTGCTTCACAGCCTCTGTAGGGAAAGCTGCCCGCTGCTCCGACACGTGGTTAAAGCACCCATCACAACCATTTCTTCAAGAACAACATTCAACACAGTGAATAAGCGTTCCGTAAAACGGTTTACTAACAGTAACACACGTGACTTCGTACTCGTTCTAGGAAACACTCGATTTGGAAAGCACGTGGCATCAAACAAGCTGCCGAACTACACAGAAACTCTGCCGTTCCATTTTCTCCTTTCCAACACCATTACCCCTCCCTGCAAGTAAACTCACCCCTGCACTCCCCTCCTCTCCTGGCTTCCTTCACGGTACTTCCCCTCCATACTACGCAGAAACAATGGAAATGGATAAACAAACGAATCGCAAGTTTTTAACCTTGCAAGCTCCATTTCCATTATAATAATAACCATTTACCATTAAAATAATAATTATTATTATGGAAATAGCGCTTGCAAAGTCAAAAACTAGCGATTTGTTTGTTTCGATTGGGTCGCTAACAATTACAAATCGTCTTGGGAATGTTCCAAATCGTTAAATTAGTGTGAAACTAACATAATGACAAAAATTGAGATTTTCAGATTTTTAATGCATTCCACAGCGTTGTGCTTCTTGGATATTTAATGTAAGATGATAATTAATGTTTTACTAGTGATGGTGGAATTTAGAACTTTACTTTTTTAATCGCGTTTTGAAAATAAGGCTTTAGCATTTTATAACATTGTAAAAATAAAGCATTTTGTAGCATTTGTAAAAAAAATTAATAATCAGTGAGATAAAATATTTGGTGTTTTTTAGATTTTCCCATTAAAACCAGGAAATTAAATTATTTAATATTTCGCCATTTGTAAATTTCAACAAATATAAAAGCGTAAGAAGTAACGCGTTCGCCTTACACTTACGGCCTTCCTCTACTGCTGCACACATGACCTCCGTATAGCGAACTGAGAAAGCTAAGACCCCTTAAGATGACCCTGAACGCTCAGGCTTTCAGGATAAGTTTTTGTATTGTTATTATTTTTTACTTTTAGTCAGTTAAATCTTCATTAAAAAATTAATAAACACGGTCACTCTCAAGTTAAATGTTTTTAAATATCAGTGTGTTGCTGTTGATGTCGCATCCCTAGTTAAAGAGCGAACACGAAAGAAACCATAAAATACAATTTAGCAATTATTTTGCAGATTCATAACCGTTTCGCACTTTGTAAGTGATTTAGCATTTTGCGATCGATTTCGCATTTTGTCGCAGACTGACAACCTTCAGAAATACACTGCACCGACCACAAAACATACATTTACTATTTCTTTTCAGCGTTTGGTAACATTTCGCATTGTTAGCAATTGCTAAAATATACCACCTCTACGTTTTATCTGATAAGCAATTACCTGTGAAGAAAACGTTGACATTTAAATACGGAATAAGCATATCATTACCTAATTATTACAGCATGACAAGAAAAAGACAGAAACAAACAAATGAGAAAGAGGGCGATTTTCACTGTGATGAGAAAATTGAAAAATGAGAAAGTTAAGCAAAGTATTGGATTTCTTTGTATATAATGTGTATCCTAATTTATTTATGTTTTGGGTGATATAAAGATGTATCTCAGTAATTAATGACATTGATGACTGCTTTGTGTTTAAAGAATTCCTTAAACATGTTTCTATAAAAAAGAATATGTCTTAAAGATGTAATAAATTTACTTTAATTCATTCGTGAAAACCAGGAACAAAATATATAACATATTTTGTTCCTCTTGAAAACTTTTAAGATTTGAAAGTCATTAGTTTGACACTAAGACCTCGAAGTGTTTAAAGAATTTCTTCTATTTTGCAACTAGGGGAAATTCGGGGCAGGATTCATTAGTATTCGTATATTTTGGTGTGCAAGCGAATAATAAGTTACATTATGCCTTGAGAATATTTTTTCTTGCTTTCAGGGTGGAATTTACATGTTTCATTTGTTCGACACGTATTCGGCAGGCATCTCGCTCTTGTGCTCTGCGCTGTTCGAGGCCATCGCCATCTCGTGGTTCTACGGTAAGATTCCATTGACTTCGCTTTACCCAGTGCTCATTGCGTTTTCACCCCTGCAGCTCTTGTGCTCTGCACTGTTTCGAGGCCATTGCCATCTCGCGGTTCTACGGTAAGATTCCATTGGCATTGCTTCACAAGTGAACATTGCTTTTTCGCAACCTGGAGCGCGAGTCGGTTCTCATTAGACGACTATCACGCGCCATGGTGTTGCAAAAGCTCTATTACACCATAAGAAATATTTCAGACTTCTGCTGCGAGCCGTGAAAAAGTACGGAGGTCAAAGCGACGGACGCCGTAACCGAACCCACTAGACATGCAGTCTGACACTTTCTATTTCTACATTTCATGCCCATCAACTTTTGTTTTGATTCTAACGAAAACTCGAACGTATGGCCACAAATGTGTAACGAGGGGAAGACGCAAACTCCAGTGTGCGTAACCTTGTTAAGCCTCTTCTGGGCAAGTAACCACGCACCATCGCCGAAGAAAGAATGACCGGACGGGACGGGGAGGTCCCTGAGACACGGCTCAGTCTCGGACAAAACTGGGGCGTCTTCGGGTAATGTGTTAATATGAGACGCACATACCTGTCAGTATCCCTCACTGTGCGCAGCCGGTTGCTGCTTGGTGCTGCACCATCGGTGACGCGGCGACGCTGCGGCGGCGAAAACGCGGTCCGGCGCGGCGGTCGCGCTCGCGCTTCCACTGTCTCACAAAATAAATGCACAGTGCGCTATCTACGAACAGAGTAAGATACTGAAGGAATGAAGTGCTTTCAAGAAACAACAGATGCCCCTATGTGTCAAAAAACAGGCACAGCCTAAATGAAACACTACAAAGAAGACCGGGAACTAAATGAACTATTGGACAATCATATCCTTAGTTAATAGACTTTTATATCTGGTCAAAATAATTTCCTCGGGTACCAAAGTGTAGTTGCCAAAGGGATAAAAATGCGAATACATTATGGAAGTCGAGAGATAACTAAAATTTTGAAGGGGAATCATATTTTGTTTAATATTTCGCTTTATTTTCTGTTTCTTTTCTGAGCATTAATTACATTGAATTCGTGGTGGTTTAAAAAATTATCCCTCTAGAAAATAGTGTTGAATTGCGTTTGTGTTAAATAGGAAAGTATTCTGCACAGTTAGTGCAAAATTCTCGTTAGTTCTGAGGAACTGAAGCCCAGCTTCTGAATTCCAAAAAATCTGTTAAAAAACAAAGATACATACGTATGAAATACTATTTTATTTTACTTTAAAGAAGTTTCTAATAAGCAAAAAAGTATAGCATATCGTCTGTTGCAGGTCTAGATCAATTTTCTCAGGATATTGAAGCTATGTTGGGTTCAAAACCTGGATTGTATTGGAGGATTTGCTGGAAATTCATCAGCCCTTCCTTCATCATTGTAAGTATGCACAGCTTTTTTATTAACTTTACACTGGCTCGTCTGAAATGGTTTAAATCAGCTGCCGCCATTGCAGTGACTCTGATCGGGAAAACTTATAGGGTTCTCATCTTAGAGGTTTTCGACTCGAGCTAGATAGCTATATCGAATGCCAGGAGGAGGATTCTAGCGGCTGGCTAGAATCAACTAGCAAAGGTGGCTGGGGGAATGGTAAAGCTGCATAATGGACTCGACGAACGTGTTACAAACGTTTTAGAGTCAATTTGCGAGCCGAAGATGTACAATTTTCAGCAGTTCCTAAGTAATAAATCTTACTTATTCACGCATTGTTCACCACACGAAGATTTAAGAAAAACTAACGTTTCATGTCTTCTGTAACGGGATGAGGGCCACGTACGTGTATTCCACTAAAGCATGTGGGGTTCTTGACTGCTTTCAAGGCTACACAGAGCTTCGCGGACAGTTGTGTTTGTTGACGAAACCAACTGGACCACGCCACTATATTTTGCATTGAAAAACGTTCCCGCTTAATTTTGTAAACCAACATTTTTGAAGTCCAACTGTAGAAAAACTGTAAGTAGGTGTTTTTGTTGAATGGCGCGATCCATTTATTTAATTTTCTTTTATACTACCGAAACACTTGGGATTGTCTGAAGCACTTACACACGTACTGCAACTCAATTGGCAAGACAAAACTGCCATCGAGAGAATCATCTCGTATAACTTCCAGGAATGTCATAGTGAGAATGCGATATTCTACCCGATATCGGAGAGATCTTTCTTTCGCAGGTCTTTCTGACAGTTTCTGACGACCAGCGAGCTCATGGTGCCCACGCGTATAAGCTCTCGCTAACTGAAAAACGTTTCCTGACAGATAATCAAACCACGGTATATCACGGTTGGGTTTACATTTCATTCAGGACAAAGACTCGTACCCTGAAATTCAATCTTACTTTTGATCACGCACGTGAAGCGAAATAAACCACATCTGCATCCGTTGGCAACTGTTTTGAGACTAACACTATATTCACTTCTTTATTGTTCCATGAACCACGATAAGTATTAATCATAATTCACCAATTGTTTGATTTTAATTACCATTTTCCCTTTTTTTTCAAAAAAATGCTGAACATGCAGTATGCATTAACAGTAAAATATGGCAAATATGGAAAAATATGCCGAATAAAATTTCGTCAGGATTGCTCTAAATGGGCAGATTCTTAAAGATACATGTATGTGATCATTTTCCAAGTAACAATTTAAAAAAAGCATAAAATTCTTTGCATTCTGGGCTCTTCTGATGAGTTATGAGCTCTCCTTTCAAAGATTTTTGCTACAAACTTTCCACCAACATGGGTATCCAAGAGCACTTTTGATTACTTATTTTACAGCATATATTATTATAGGCCATCCAAATATTGATACACTCATATTTTTACTAATCAAACCCAAAACAAAAAAGGAACTAAGCTCAAGGGTGTCCTCAAAATGAAATCCTTGAAGATCGGCTCACACATTTTCTAGAAAATCTTCCGTAAACTTCAATAATTTGAGAACACTGTTGAAATATTTTTAGTGACCGTATATTAAAATGTTGGCTGACTTGGATGGTTGAGGTGGCTAAGAGTGTGTACAGACTTGGTGCTTCAGTCCAAAGGCCCATGGGTTTAAGTCCAACCATGGGCATTTTTGTTTGTCTCTTGACTCTCATGTATGTGTTGTCGAGGAGGGCCTCACATTCTGCTGACCCTAGAGCAGAGGAGCCTACAGTGATGGTATCTACTGTATGGTTAAATATTATATGTCCTATCAGGACATAAAGGGTATCTGGCTGTTGGCTGGATAAATGTCTTAGGAAAAGAGATATTAAAATTTTGAATGCTTTTTAGCAGCATGTAATCTCTATATTCTTGCTGCAGGGAGTTGTCATTTTTGGACTTGTGGATGCAAAACCTCTTCAGTACCTAGAATACAAATATCCAACATGGGCTGTTGGAATGGGCTGGACCCTCGCATTTTCCTCCATATTTATGATTCCACTAGTAGCTGTCATTCGTTTACTGAGGACACCTGGCACCTTGAAACAGGTAAGCATTTTGCATTTCCTCATGGGTTGAATTTCAAATTCATGTTTCTTTTCCTCTCAAAACACATTCTTTTTTCAGCGGATTGCCTACAATATAACTCCTATTGAAGAGCATGAGAGTATTCGACTCACAAACAAAGTCAGCAGATTCCGCTGCAAACATTGGCTGTATGTATGAGGTAACAACCAAAAGGCAGTCTCACCGGAAAATATTCAGTGTTGTAATGTTGTATTTGCAGAACTTTAGGCCTCTGATTTAAAAATATGACAAAAACTCCATAGCGTATTTTAGTCATAATGTATGCTATTGGATTGGATTGTATTAATTTACGAGAGAATTCAAAATTGATAACAGTGATCACATAGGTGAAACTGTACACAGTTAACACCACTGATTTACTAGAATCAAGGACAATACTTGTAAATTAAATCTAAACAATTATTCATTACATACCTAATGAAGAAAATTTGCTTTCAAAATAGATATATTATGATAGAGTCCTACGCAGTTTGAAAATACAAATGAAAGGCAATATCCCATGTATTACATGTATGTAGATAAGCTACCAATTCTGTCTATTAACTTGCTATGCAATGCAAATGGAACTACATTAGAAATATATTCTCATTGCAATTACTGAAAATTACAGAAAATCTTTTGATATCATGACTTTCAATTTCAAATTTTCTCCCTTTCTCATAGAAAATATATCACACATTGAATGTATTTAAACTATTGGTTCTGATTATTTTAAAATGTTTTTGGGCACTGATGAATGTGAAGATTTGGCTCTTCATTGAATATATGAAGTGCAATTAAATTAACAAAGTCAGTATTAGATTATTCAGTATTATTCGCACTGGTTGCTATTGGAAACTTTTGATATGGTATTTATGGTTTTCAGCGAGAAATAAAGAATAATAATCATTCCCATTCTGCAAGACATCAATACCTTTCATGGGAGATGATAGCCTGTGCTGGTAGAATTCTTTTATCATATTCTCTTCTCTTTCTCATCCCATCGCTACCACCCACTTTCATTCACATTTTCCTTTTCCAATCTCAACTGTTGGTCCCTGCCTCCCTCCACTCTTCAAATTCCTTTAAACATCTGTATTTGTTTTGCCTACTTCCTGTCAACCCTGTACACTCTGCCCATAACTGCATAGGCAGTTCATTTCAAAAAAGTGAGGCAGGTACAAGCTTTTCTTCAATGTTTTGAAACTTGAGGGTATAAATTTACATAAATGTTGACTGTTCTCCCCATATTTTCAAATAACATACTGCCATCAACCTACCAGAAAGATTTCACTTCACGACAGAAAACTATATGGTAGATAAACAAATAAATAATATCGAAAACATGTGTTGCCTCTAGTGTGTAGACAATTTATTACTTTTGATAAGATTCACAAGTTTATTCCTCTCTCAACAAATTTTCACAATGTAATCTTATGCCGAATTCTTTAATGTTCCATTTATAGTGCCATGCAATGCATGGTTTATTGATTATTTTTCTACAAGAGAACAGTTTTCAAATAAAGTTATATTTAAGGTTAGATACATTAAATGAAGAAAATGCACCTAGAATGGCATAGCAACAGATCCAAAGTGAATTCAAGGGGAAATAAATGTCAAAAAAATTAGTTGATAAATAATTTAAATATTCTTTACATCTGTAAAAAATACTTTTATCAACAAATGATTTATTTTTTTTATTTGAATGAAGCAATGGAATTTTACTATCAAATTTAGTTTTATTCTGAAGTCAATTTGGCTAAAAGGCAAATATTTCCATTGTCTCACTCTTGGATTCACTTCTGGTACAAGAACAGTTTTTTTGGATTGAAATGATGACAGAACTTTAAACATCATGTATTGAGATTACCTGTCCTGTATTAATGAGAATATTTTTATTTTTTCTGTTCAGACATTTTTTTATAATTGTTTTAAGTACAATTGAAATTTAATTATTTATATCTAACAATAAGAAACTATAAATAACTTATACATTATAATTTACAGTTAAAATAGATTTCATTATTTCATTGCTGGGGGAAAAAATAGAAAATTAGTTATTCTCCTTTGCATTGGAAACAATATCATAAACGTCAAAATATTTCAAAGTAAGGAATTCACTTGAGAAAACTTGAAGCGTTTGTGTATAAGTATAGGACAATGATCAGCTTTGTGGTGGGTGCTATACCAGAAACTGTGAATACAGCGAAATAAGAGAATGTGTTCATGGAACAACATGTAGAAATACTGTATATTCTTTAGTGTCATTAGTGTACATATGTGTTGCTGATCCCATATTTATAGACAGGGGTTGTGATTGTTTGGCCAAGATATGTATTCTTTAAACCAAAGAGTTGTATTCCAGATTTTGTCTGCAAATGCAGATGGTGGTGTGACCTCCGTCCTTATTGGCCTCACATTTGGATTTCTGTACAGTAATGTATACAAGCTCCTTGACATAATTTTTCGAATATTCATTCTTCTTTGTGAAAATTATAAGAAAGCTTCACATTCAAATAATGTGATTTTCCTAATATAATCCTTTGTTTTAAATGTAATTTATGATAAACATAATTTTAACTAGTACTAGCTGTTGCAATTGTCAACTAATTTTTGTACTATAGTTCACATGTTTTTTGTTCCTATATTTGCATTCACAAACACTAACCAAATAATACTTCCATGTCCAAACAGATTTAAAGATCAAGACATGATGTGGATTGGTATTAGTCATTCTCAGTGTTCATTTTTATACTACAACATATTTAAGGACACTTTTGTACTTTTCCATTGGTAAAATGATTAAAAACGGAAATGGTACAAAATTGTTATTCCATCTAAAGCTGGCAAATACAACTGTGAAATAAATTAGAACATTAGCACCTTCACAATTTAATGCAAATAACAAATTCAGTAAGCTTGGCAATGTGTCTAAAGAATGTATTTACAAATAGTAGCATTATATGTATAAACAGAACATTTACCATTCTATTAATTCTTAATAACAATAATAATGATATATTTGAACATTCATATATATATTTTTGCTGAATTTTTCTGTAACGTTGGTGTTGATTTTAGTAGCATTATCTACAATTTGCTCCCAAGAAGTGTAATAGTTTTCGTCAGAAAAAACTTAGGATCTAAAATTATAATTTATTTCATATATATTTTGTCCACTTGAAGAGTCCATGGTATAATGTTTATTTCCTTTTTTTCAATGTTAAAAAGTGTATCTGTCAACATGAGCAGAATAACAATTTTTAAAGAAGTAAACCTGAACCAAAGTCCAGAAAGTGCATATACACAAATTGTTTTAATATACCAAAAAGAAATTGACAAATATTGCATGAGTTACTATCCAGAATATTGTCTTATTGTACAACTAATGACATAAGGAAAAGAATATTTCTACTTATAGATCAGTGTATATAAATGTACTTCTGAATGTCTGTTTGTGAAATAAAAGAAATAATGCTTAATATTTTATCTCTGAATTATACCACCTCCCATTAGATTTCCTGCAATGAATTTGGCAATTGCTGGAATGATTAAAAAACTACAGGAATTTTTGTAGGTATGTTAAAAGTAATTAATTAAAATAGAGTAAGACTTTCCAAGCATATTTCAAAATAGAATTGCCAAAATAACAGCTGAAGTAAATTCCAATCAGTTTGTTGAGAACTTTAGATGATAAACAAACAAAATGTTATTTTTCATATTTATATTCTTCTGCCCTAATATATACGTATTAGAACATACGATAAGTGAAAACCGTGAGAATAAAAATCCAAAATTGCACCAAAGAAATAACAGTTTCGAAACAAAAAAGTCAAGATACCTTGTAAACAAGAGTAAGTAGTAGGTTTTTCTGTAAGCAGAGGTTTTGTATTTTATGAATTAATATCAATACAAATCAGTTGTTTTAAATTCTTTGTTATCAATCCTATTGTGCATCATGAGTCCACAATTTCTTAAAAGACTATTTCTCAAACAAATCATGCATATAACTACTATGATTTTACTGCTAAATTATTTGCTCTTGTTTTTTAAGGTTTTCTCTTTTCATTTATGACTTTTGTTTTGTATTTTCTTAATTATTCTGATATGACAGATTTAATGAAGGTAGCAAGTTTAGACCATCATTCAGGATTAAAAATTATTACAGACTTGATTTATGCAGGTTGATATTGAAAATATGCAATAATGAAGCTTCATTGTTTGAACTTCAGTGCAGATGCCTATTAGAATGTACACCAGAATTAGAGAAAACAATTACCCTTTCAAAAACTCCTACTCAAGACAAAGATCTCAACAAATTTTACACTAGAAGACAATTGCACAAGGACAGAAAATATTTCTTGGTATCACCAATGGAATCACAATCATACAATCAAATCAAACACAAATACAATCAAATTAAATCACCAATGGAATTTATATCTACAAGCTATTAACTCAAAATTAAGAAAACTCAATTATGCTCTTAGAATAAAACTAGAAACAGCATAATAGAAATAATGTGAACAGTGTAGTTTTCAAACGTTCACACAATCCTTAAATAAGGAATAATAATCTTGAACCATGCCAGAGGTTAAACAAACCTTGAAATACAAAAGATAATTATCCATACAATAACAAACACAAAACGTTCAGATCCCTTTACATCCCAATTCAAAACTCGACCTACCCAACACTGTTGTATATTCATTTTATTTGTTACATAGTACCTAACAAACAATGATACACACTAAAAATTGAACTCAAGCTTACTCTCATACAACACAAGATTATAAACTTCACCAATCACAGAACAGTATATAGCACAGACCATTGTACCAAAAAACTACATACTCTATAGTAATATATACAATTCTTCAACAAATTACCAAAACATCTGAAATATGTTAACAGAATTACACAACTACAAAAATAAACACAAACATTTCTAACGAGGTCAGGAATTTCTCAGACTGGCACATACAATATGATTGCAGGTGGTGCAGTAGAACATGGGGTAGTAAAAATCTGACCAAAATTCTTCTCTTTCTCCTAGGATTGTTCAGGCATATATACCTACTGAAGATCAACCTGATCATTATTCACTATACATGATTGACATTCATATTGTTATTTTTCTTATTATTGTTATGTAATGTATTCTTATTTTTAATTTTTTATTATAATTTTTGTTACAATGATATTAAAGTTATTATTGTTACATAATAACTAAAGCTGGGAAATAAATGCAATTTTCATGTTTTTGTTAATACTCAAATCTTTGAGAAACTTGCAATTTCCTTGCTTCATGACAAAATTTTGAATCTGAGATAGAAAATTTAAAATTACCGAGGATAAATGCTTATTTAACATCTTCAAAAATTTGCATTCTTTCTTATTTTTGCTTCAAGTTTTTAACATTTTTGTCTTTAAACTGGAAAGAAAAGACAAAAGCTTCAAATAAAATTTACCAACATTTGGTTTATTAAGCTTCTATTTATATATTACTAGTAATGTCCATAAATTCTTCAAGGACTAATTAATTTGTCTTTTTAAATGATACTTAACAAATTCATAAGTTCTCAGAAATGAATAATGTTTAACTTTTCTGACAGCCAGGTAGAAATCTCAAATGTTTAAACTTTAAGCCTTACTCTTGCAAACTGTAACAACCTTGCATTCACAATTAAAATGCCACTGAAAACCCTTACCTTTCTATTCCTTTGGGAAGCTATCTCAGAGAAAGAATTTTTATAATTCAGATAGGTATTGTTTGGTCTTTAAAAACCTCAATAAATTATCAGTGATACTATAAGTTCTTGGAGAGGAAGATAAGAAAAAAAAGGGAGAAAAAAAACTACTGACTCAGATTAAATTTATTAAGTGGAACTTTTCTATTTGCAATTAGGTTGGATAAATAAATAAACGTGCTGCACCTATGAAATTTATTGAAAGTTAAAGAAACCTAATTGTCAGGAAATTAATGAAAGAATTTCTTTGAGAAATACATTAAAAGAAATAGGTACTTTAGTATAACACCTTTTGTTTCAGTTAACATACTGAATTTTCAGAATATCTTGAGTTAAATTCCACATCTTACATAATCTTCTTTTAAAAATTGAACAAAAACAATCAAATGTGTATTGTCAACAAATTGTGCAGGAAAATAAAACAACAGAAGATTTGGACACAGCAAGTGTTAATATATCAATTTTATTTTATAACACTATAAAATACATTATTTTAATCAGGATCTCTTGTTCTTATGGAACAAGCAACATAACAGGTAAAGTTCAATTGAAAAAATTCTACAGTGATCAGCTGTGCAAATGAATCAATCTTAACGAAAGAAGTTAATAAGTATTCAAAACTTACATATAAATTGATTATTACAGCAGCAAGCTTTAGATCTACAAGCATAAGTAAAAATTCACATTTCAACCAGCCATTTTCAGTAATGGCATGTACACTACACACATTCTAAGTTGGCCAAAGGATTTGAGCAAATGGTCAGTAATGTCACTTGAAATGTAACTTAGTCAGAATCTTTATCAACGCAGAACTGTGCTGAAATATAAACACGTTGTTTACAATTATTCCTTGAATATTATATTCTAACATATCTAAAATTATCTGTTCTTGACAATGGTTCATTCAAATCACAATTCTTAGTTAAATGGTTTCTCTTTGCTCTTTTCTGAAAACTGAGATTTATGATTATTTCAAAAGTAGGGGAACAAAACAATTAAAATATGCAGGAATTATGTTTAAGAATCCAGGATGAGCTACCAAGACAAGTATTACTATAAAATATTTTTATTGATTGAAACAGAAAGATAAAATTTTTCCTGCTGATAATTACACATCAATGTAATTATTCTAAATTGTTTCAATTGTGATCAGGTACTATTTTCTACAAAAATAAATCTAAGGGATAATTTCTTCTCTGTTAAAATTCTTGAAATGTTTGTTTAATGTATTTCATATTAAATAAAACACTGATTTTAAAATTTTCACTGTACATGTGAATAAAAAATTAACTGCAAAATTCACACCAACATAGACAAAGATAACTAGATGAAACATCAAACCACGCCCTAACAGACCACTTTGGGCAACTTATATTGTGTTTAATGTACAAAGATTGAGAACACATTAAACTGGGCATTTAAATTGCTATTTATCTTTAGTTTCTTCCATCATTCTGCACTGTGCCCACTTGTTCTTAAAAGATGTGGCAGTATAAAGAGTTATTTACTCCAACACTAAAACTGACACTTAAGAAAAGTGTTCTACAGATTGACAACACTAATATGGAAATATTTACAAAAGGTATATCGTTTTGTTAGGCCAACGATTGCATAATCACAAAAGGCGATGTTTTTTTAGGTGACAAAGCATGTGTAAATGGTACACAGCTTCTCCCAGAACAAACATCTATTGGACAGCACCAAGCAAAGTGGGCATGGATCAGATAAAAAAGACTGCTCTGTATAAGTAACATAACTCTGAAGAAAGTGTATAGATATTATTGAACCAATACCAAACAGGAAGCTACTAATTTGACAAGTTATGGGCTACCCCACATAGAAATTTAAAAATTCATGTTCTTCTTTGAGCTTGGTGCTGGCCACTTTGTCCGCTTGGAGATCTAACATTCACAGTTCAAAACCAATCTACTAAAGTACATGATGAGCTCCACAACCACAATTGGCACTCACTTCTCAATACTTCAACAATTTACAAACATTCTAATAACACTTACTACATCACTTCTACAATAGTTTACTCCAGTGAAGATGTAAGACATGGCACATGGTGTGTCCAAACTTAGGAACAAATAATTATTTGACCTCATAGTTTGGATATGCCTCAATGTCAGAGAAATATAAAAAGGGTGTTGATTCTCTAAAAACTACAGAAATCACAATGACTTGAATATTATCATAACATTGACTTTTCAATCAGACTTTGTAGTTTGTGATGTCTACAAAAAAAATAGAAAGTATGTAATAAACTGATTAATAGCATGATCACATTATATAATTTCATCCATCATAAATTAAAATATTGCGAAATGATAATGATAACAGTGATGATGATGATAACGTAACAATAACAATAATAATAATAATAATAATAATAATAATAATAATAATAATAATAATAATAATAATATCAATGTATTACTTACAGTAATACATTAATCAAAATATAAAATATATACTTAATAAGCCACACAAATAAATATTTTTTGCAGTAACAGTTACCAGTTAATAAGTCTTCAAAATATTAAAAAGCCAGCAGAAGGACAGAGGAAATAAATACCCAAAAATTCAAAAACAAGTTCTCAGTTGAATGAAATATAGATTCATGATAAGTACACTAAAAATCATTTGAAGAACTTTTACTTTTTTTATTTCTTCATGTTTCCAAAATAATTATTTATTTGTGCTAAATTTCAAATGGAAATACTAGTATTTTACCACAATTTAAAAAATAGTGAACTCAATACACTTTATATTTTCCCCCAAAAC